GCCTGACCTAGGGTGAATTTTAAATAGGGATAATTTTTAATGATTTTAAATAGTCACAGCCACTAATATTTGGATTTTAATTGGTTTTTAGAAGGGGTAATTCTGTATATTGTTTTAACATGCTGTGAGCCGCCCTGAGTCCCATGGGGAGAAGGGCGGCATATAAATTTTGTAAAATAAATAAATAAATAAATAAATATTGCTTGTGCTTCCATAATGTTGAATTTCAATATTGCATGATCACTTCCTCTCAAGGTTCCTGTGGCTTCAACACCTTCTATCATTTCATCTCTGTTAATGAGAATTAGATCCAAAATGGCTAATCCCCTAGTTCCCTTCTCTACTTTTTGGGAGACAAAATTGTCTGCTAGGTTTGCAAGGAATCTGTTTGATCTTCCACTTGGTGCAGAGTTTGTCTCCCAGTTGATGTCAGGGTAGTTAAAGTCCCCCATTATTATTGTGATGTGCTTCCTACATACCTTAGTTAGCTGACTAGCAAAAAGTTAATCTATTTCCTGTGTTTGGTTGGGTGGCCTGTAGTATACACCTATGGCAATGTCATTTCCCCCCCCCCCTTTTATATTGACCCAAATGCATTCAAGACAGTTTTCATCATTGTTGTGCTCTATTTCTGTAGAGATGTAGTTATTTCTTACATATAGAGCAATACTGCCTCCTCTTTTATTTGGTCTGTTTCTTTTAAATAATTTAAATCCCTCTAGCTGTGTGTTCCATTTGTGGGTTTCATCCCACCATGTTTCCGTAATGGCAACAATATCATATCTGCCCTCATTAACCTGAATTTCTAGTTCACCCTGTTTGCTATTCATACTCTGTGCATTGGTGTATAGACACTTGAGTCCTTTATGACTGACCCTGTGTTTACTTTCTACATAACCTGTGTGGTGCCTGTGTTCCCCTATTGTCTTACTACCTATTTGGTTATTGCACTTTGTGTGACACTCGCTATTAGAAGCTTGATTTTGCTTGACAGCAAGGTTGATATTCTTGTCCGCACACACATCTATGTTACATGCACTGATAGCCCTATAGTTTTTAGATTGCCGGGGACAGGGATGTTCTGTATCAATTAACTCACTTTCCCCGCTGTTTAGTTTAAATATTCCTCCAGAAAATCTGTGAATTTATAGCCAAGTAACTCAGTCCCTTTCTTTTGTACATTTTTTCATTGGACCAGCTACAGACATTGTGACTAATTTTAGCCACATATTGAATTGTGCTATACGCTGGCCTTTTCCATTTTGCTCCTTATATACTGGTAAAACTTCTGAAAAAGTAAGCCTACAGCCTGTTCTGCTAAGTTCCTGCCCGAAGCTCTGGAAATCGTTCTGCACAGAGAGTACATCTTTTTGGGACAGATTGTTAGTGCCAAGATGTACAATAGCCTCCACATCACATTCCTTGCTGGCATTCTTGATTATTTTAGAAATACGCTTCTTGTCCCTACTGGCAGTAGCACCTGGAAGCACTTGTTAATTCAAGATTTCTGATCCAACAGCATCTGATGTATTGGTCACATTTGGTCTTTTGAATTGACTGGAAATGTCCAAGAACAGATATGGACTACGAAGAGCAGAGTAAGGGATTTTTCTAGTTTTTGCAGTTCAGTGGGATGAATCTTGTTTGATAGTTATCCTTCCTAGGGCAATAGGCAATAAAATAGTAAGCAATAAAATAGATATCAATGGAATATTAATGTCATTAGCTTGCAAATGAGCAAGGTATAGTCAAAGAGAACTGAGCACAAATGTGTTGTTTATTTTGGCTGGTAAGGACACATCAGAGTAACATGAGTTAATGCTAACAGAATAATGAGATTCCACATTTATATTCCCACTAAGAATAAGAGAAGCTTCTAATATGTCTGCCCTTGAGAGTTAATTGAAGTTTAATGTAACTAACACCATAACCTCATACCTAAATAAGTAACTATAAGATACTTCATACCACCCATGAGAATTTTCCTCAAATGCTCTTCTTCTCAGAATCAAATTCTCTTTCATCAAACAAAATGAATGTGGATGGGGGGAAAAGAAGGCAGAAGGTTGTCGCTATCCAGCACTACTATCATTTGTGAATTGGTGTCTTAAAATATTACTTTTACATTTTGAAATAAGGAAGAAACAACTGACTTTTAATAGTATGCTTGCTTAGGTATATTATTCACATCAGTACATAATTGTAATGAATAAATCATGTTTTATAAATCAATAACATTGATTTTATGTAACCAGTTGTCAAATTGTCATCTTCTTCAACTGTGACAATCTTCTGATTCTTTGTGGAAAAGGGTAAACCATCTTACTAATTATAGATGGAAGAAACAATTTGGTAAAATTGTTTTACCAATTGCATAGCATGAATTCATACAAAGACTACAATTTCACTCACACATCATACTAAGACATAGCTTGTATAAGCCACAGGTTGCAAACATGGGGATTGGATTTACATAAAAGCCATAATTACAGTTCAGTGTGATGTATGAATTTATTAGCACAAGTTAATTTATGATCTATCATAGAACTTTGCAGTCCCGAAGCAAAAAGTTTGCTATATGAACAATCAACGAACAGGCACAGGTGATCACTCTGAGGCCAATCTTTTCTAACCTGGTGTACTGCAGAATGTTGGGGAATCATAATAGAGAAGGTTGGTTAAGATGAATGTGAATGAACCTGAGACTTGTGGCTTCCTTTCTCTCCTCCAGGAAATAGAATGAATACCTGTTTTGACATTATGGCATATGGATTTGCCAATTCTATAAGTTCCAACAAAATATGCTGGTATTAGAGCTCAAAGATGAACTGAGTGGCTGATATGAGGACAAATTGCTTGATAGCGTTATTTGCATTAGTTTCAGGCATTTCTTTCTTTCTTTCTTTTTGGAAAAAGCTTTCTCAGCCTAAGTAAAAATCAAAATTAATATTTTTTCTTTTTTTAAAAAATATAGATTTGTCATCTTCAGCTCTCAAAGTTTTAGCTATTATGAAATATCTCCATATAGCAAAGATGAATTTTGATTGCAGTAGTTAATTTTTTATAATACTAGATTTTATTATCTGTGTTGTTTTGTATTTTACTGATTTTTTATTGTGTTATTTGGATTTTATGGTTTTAAGATTTGTTTTAAAATAGATATGCCACACAAAGAACTATTTTATGAGGCTATTAGAGATTAAACAAATAATTCTCCTTATCTGATTTTATTAGCTTTGCTTAGATGAAAGCACATACCACTAAATGAAAACTGCAATTTGTTCTAAAATAAAAAAGAACCCTTCCTTTCCTCATACATAAAAAACAAGAAGAAAGGGAAGAAGGATATCTGAGCACAAGATTTACGAAAGTACATTTTGATAATTTAAGCTATAGCTAGTAGCCAAGAAGGAGGCAACTGAAGCAAAAATAATTCTCAGAATGCTTTCCTAAAGAAATAAGGTTTAGTAGAATTTCAAAAATTGTTAAAGAGATTGACCCTGTTTTATAAAAATGCAGGTTTCTTCAAAGATTGATGTATCTTGTATAAAACAAGAAAATAGGAAATAAGACTTTCAAAATTACACTCACTCTCTCTCTCTCTCTCAGGCACAATTATATATCTTTAATTGCTATTTAGATATCATTTGTAGGGTATTGAATATTGATAGTATGTTTTATACTATCGGCTTATGACTACAATTGGGGATATAATTTTAATCAGTGATGTGGTCATTAAACGAGTTGGACCCAATTTTACAACTGGTTTTACTGTGGTCATTAAGTGAATCTCTGCAGTTGTTAAGCAAATCATGTAGTCATTAAGTGACTCACATAGTCATTAATTGGCTTCTCCAATTGACTTTACTTTTCAGAAGCTGGTTGGGAAGATTGCAAATCATGATTACATTATCACAAGAGGCTGCAGCTGTTGTAAATGCAAACTGGTTGCCAAGACCCCAAATTGTGACCATAGGGATGGGTCAAAGTCACTTTTTCCAAGATGGTCATATGAGCCATCATTAAATAAGCAGTCATAAGTCAAGGACTATTGTGTTTTCTCGAAAATGACCCAACCGGAAAATAAGCCCTAGCATGATTTTTCAGGATGCTTGTAGTATAAGCCCCCAAAATAAGCCCCAGTTAAGATTGTCAGCCAGACGGATGCATTTAGTACTGTATTTCCTTGAATATAAGCCCTAACCAGAAAATAAGCCCTAATGCATCTTTTGAAGCCAAAATTAATATAAGACCCGGTCTTATTTTCAGGGAAACACGATATCTGTAACTCAATTTGAGCTACACTTAGACCTGCAGTTCAGCAGATTTGGAAGGAAACAGAATATGTATTAATGCATCTAAGTGTGTTTTTGTTCTTGATTTTTCAGGTCACCTGTGCAAATTTAAGCAGTGGTGGCAAATCAGAACTTCTAAAAGCAGGCAGTTCCAAATCCATACTAAAGCATATATGGACAGAAAGCAGCAAAGACTTATCAATCAGCCGGCTGCTATCACAGACTTTTCGCAGAAAAGAAAATGAAACAGATTTGAGTATGCGGTACGATGCTCCTGAAACTTATTCAGAGCAAGATCTATGGGAGTGGCTGAGGAACTCCACGGATCTTCAAGAACCTCGATCCAGAGCAAAGCGACGGCCCATTGTCAAGACTGGGAAATTTAAGAAAATGTTTGGCTGGGGCGATTTTCATTCCAATATCAAGACAGTCAAGCTAAACCTGTTGATAACTGGGAAAATAGTTGATCATGGCAACGGGACATTCAGTGTTTACTTTAGGCATAATTCAACCGGCCAAGGGAATGTATCAGTGAGCTTGGTGCCCCCAACCAAAATAGTAGAATTTGACTTGGCACAACAAACAGTGATTGATGCCAAAGATTCCAAGTCCTTCAACTGCCGCATTGAGTATGAAAAGGTTGACAAAGCCACCAAGAACACGCTCTGCAACTATGATCCTTCTAAAACATGTTACCAGGAGCAAACCCAAAGTCACGTCTCATGGCTCTGCTCCAAGCCCTTTAAAGTAATCTGTATTTACATTTCCTTTTATAGTACAGATTATAAACTAGTACAGAAAGTATGCCCAGATTACAACTACCATAGCGACACGCCATACTTCCCTTCGGGTTGAAAAAGACCATACATCTAAGACTGAGGATCCCAAGGAATAAAATAAATCAAATAAAATAAAAGAGGTCATATGACAGGGCTATTACCTCAAAGAAGAAGGCCACAACTTTTGCCCAGAATGTGTCTACATTTTGTTGCTGATATCAACTGGCTGCAAATATGTTAACGGAAGCCAATCTAATCATTTCTGCCCAGTCAGCTCCATTACATATCAGTCCAGTTGTAAATCACTATTTAAATGATGCCACATATGGTTTCTCTTTCTCTTTCCTTCTTCCTCTTTGCATCTACAGAGGTACCTCTTAAGATGACTTTCATCGTCTGATATGTTCAGGATCATCTATCATCAAGCAAAACAGATTAATTAGCTAAAGAATGGTTATGGAAATAACCAATGTTATGGAAATCTAAGTCTTGAATACATGATAATCAGTAATCCCCATTCATGCATTCCTTCACTTGAAGTAGCTGTACTGGTAAATATTACTGTGTAGGAGTAATTGCTTGTTCAAAACTGGGATGGGGGTGGGTGGCAGGGGATATGTGTGTGTTTAGAGTTCAGTAGTTCTCTTGATATAAACACAATTTAGGGTAGTGACTTTTCTCCAGCACACTGTGGGCACATTCAAGGTGATGTTAGGTGGCTCTTATTCTGCAGGGGGGGGGCTATTGAACAAATAAAGATGAGCAAACATTTGGAATTTACATGTTAACAGACCTGATGATTTTTTGCATCCTGATAGTCATCACTTCACACAGATAGGTTCAACTTGGCAGTCATCCCCAACTGAGAAGTCCTACAGTCACCATGTAGGAAAGAAAAATGCCTGAAAGGCAACCTGTAAGTTGTAAATGTCTGTCTTATCTTTATTACACAATATTGTAACAAATTCAATATCCTAGTCCTCATTTGTATGAATGGTTTGTATTGTACATAGTTTAACCAGTGTTATTTCAGCTGCTAATTAATATTAACTTGTAATTGTCTCTTTCTCTCTCCTCTCTTTCTTCTGCTTATTATAGGTTAAAAACAAAACAAGGAAATGAGGAATCCATTTTATCAATGTAGCTGTAAACTCCATTTAAGAAGACAGCATTCTGTACAAAGCATATATTCAGCTAAATTATTGTTGAGAGAGCTATACACTTACAACATTTACAGTCTGTCTGTATTTAGACTTTTTCTTTCCAGGTGAAAAATATTGAAATGTACATAAAAATAAAATACTGAAATTCAGTTTCAATATGCATTCTGTAGCTGGTGGTTTAAATAGCACGAGAAGACTGATTATTCAATGGGAGTATGTTCTTTTGCAAGTCGATATATGCTGGAGACTTTGATGTTTGTTGTCCCACACTGCTGACCCAGAAAAGTTGGGCCCTACAGATCAGGTTTCTTATCTTTATATGCAACTTTTCAATCAACAAAGAAGTTACTAATTTCCAGTGATTTTCATAAGACCTCCAAGGATATGAAATCAAATTTAACATAATGTCAAGAGGTCACTATGTCAGACTAAGGTTGTACCAATTTCCTAAAAATAAAAGTGAGATGCAGTGCAGTGTTGAAAATTCTGATCCTTGTTCTTCATTCCTCCCACCTCAATACTTTTAACCTGGTAGGAAAACTTTGCTGGATGGGGGAAAAAAAGTTGCAAGCAGGGAACTTATCAGCATCATTTATAGAGATGATGCTAAATAAAAAGGTTCCAAGCGTTATCTGCCATTCTGATCTGATTTGGTCATAAGCCACAAATGAAATCTGTAGCATTATATCATACAGATTGCTTCATAGTGTAAGTCATTACCTCAATTCAGGCATTTAAATCAAGAACTGGTGTGATAAAGATAGCTTCTGTTGCCAATATACACAATCCTATTCTAATTTTTTCCCCAGTGTATATGCTTTCTTTTCCACTTTCATGGAATTCCTATAAAATGGGACAGGCTGCAACTCAAAATTCTAGTTCCTAGAATTCAAGTACAGCCCAAAGTGTTTACTGTGCCCCAAACACTACTGGCAAAATATAGATTAGAATCTTTTGATATTTCTATAGGAGACCTACAATATACATCAACAAGTGTTCCATCATTCCTGTTGACTTAACAATATTTTTTCTAAGTAAAATTGTCAAGAAAAGAAAGCCTAAAGAAGAAAGGAGAACCCATGAATAAATATGTAAAAGGGTTTCTAAACCTGGTTTGAAACTACTGACCATTTTTTAAATGATTCATATAAGTTAGGAGTATCTATAGGAGGATTGAAAAAAGTCACATGCTTATGATTCCCATTGTTTGTTTACAGTTAAAGATCAGTTATTAAAAATACATCAAATAAAAACACACATACAATCACATATACATATTGTCTAGGACATAGTCAGTTGAGTTGAGCATTCCATGATTTAATGTTCTATGGGCAAAATGTTCTCAACCTGTGGCCCGCAGACTCCTAGAGGGGCTGTGATGTCATCACAGGGGGGACCACAAAGACTTGAAGAAATGTTATGATTTAAATCTTGAGTTAAGTCTTGGGGTCTGTGGCCACAAAAGGTATTTAAAGAAGGTCCATGATGAAGAAAGGGTTGAGAACCACTGCCCTACTGAATTGACTATGAGCTTAGAGTTTCTACAAATTAAAAAATATTAATGCTGTAGAAACAGAGAATAATTAAATACATAGATTTTGTTCTGACCTTATCCATTCGATGTTCTCTTTTTGGGAAGTAAAACCAGTGGCATGCCAGTCAAATACCAATTTAGATCATGGTCCTAGAAAAGTTGTACTGTCTGTAACTATCATTCAGGTTGACTTTTCTTTGGTATCAGTTAATATATGGAAAGATTATTTGGGCAATTAATGATGGCTTGTGCCTTGAATTTTTAAAGTCTTCTATTGAATGCTTCTGCTTGAAGTGCTATACAGCATGTGACCTCACTCCTCTACCCCTTGATATGATATTTAATGATCCACCCACTAATGCTAACTGAACAAGACTTGTTGCCCTGTGTCTACAATAGAAAAAGAAGGAGGGATGTTAAAAATGGGCAGTCTGGCTTACTGCATTTGAAATGAATGGAGTTGTGTGGATTAGCATATGAAAAAACTGGCTATATTATCAATAAGTAAACTGAAATTCAAGCACTATTTTTTATCAGGGAAAAAATGACAAGAATATATTGGAAGGTTAGGATTCAGTGTTACAAGAAATCAACCGTCAAAATCATTTGGATCTTTAATAGATACCTGTTTCCAACTGCTTTTTGTTTAGCTTTCCTAATGATTTCCAAACAGATTGAATTGCAGTCACACAGTATCGAATATATGTGTATATGTAGAATATATATACACATATATTGAGCTTTTGGGTGGTTGAGCTTTTGGGTGGTTGCTATAGCTCCTCCAAAAAGTTGGCTTTTCTTTGAAGAAGAATTAGTTATTTATAATTCTTAAAACCTGTAGAGAAATTATAGACGATTATAGTAAAAAAAGTCAAGACAGCAGCTGCAAGCGTACAGCTGAAGCACTACCCTTTTTGTATGCATTGCAATGTGTATGAAAACGGTAGGACTTTGGTTATATGTGCATGGCCACCATCTTAATTTTTTGACCCCTGTGGATGTGCCTGATTATAGAATATCTGAAGAAAAGACTATTAACTGTTTTAATTAATGTAATTACATTTAATTCAATTAACATGAACTTGCCATTCCATCCCTTTCTTTGTCGTGACCTTGCCTCTTTTCTGGAGTGCAATCTTTGGCATGTTGCTGAGAAGCCAAGGGTGACTCTCCTGCTTGAAAATGTATCATTTCTTTGCACATTATCAAGTTAAGTCAATAAAATGATGTTTCTAACAAAAGTCATTCTAACCTTCATGGAGTCTTATCTTAAGTGTTTGCTGGCTTTCTTGTTTTATTGTTTTTCCATTTTATCTCTAAAGTTTCTTTTCCCTCTTGCCCACACTATCCCCAATATTGGTGGATTTCACAGCAAGCATTAGAAATACTAACTATAACTGAAAGCCTTTTTTCAGATTTGGGGAAAAAAGTGCTTCAAAATAAGATCCTGGGCCACAGTGATTTAGACAACATAGCAGATAAGGTACATTGTCTTATGCTCAGCTGGAATTCAACATTCAAAGCAGGGCAATAATTAATTTTCTGTATTTTTTAAAAGGTATGTTGTTCATTTTTGCAGAGGCTTGATCTTTCTTTTTTAAATACATTAGCCTCTTATGGTCTTGATCTATGGATTCGTTTTGCTTGCTAGAATAACTAGCATGCAGTCTCAAGAGCCAAGCTAGTTTGGTGCAATATTTGTCTGAGTTAAACGTGCTAGACTGAGATCTGAGAATATATCTTTGTTTGATTTCAGATTATATTTAAAAGAACTTTGCCTTGTGTAAACTGGATGCTTTTCAAGTTAAACATACAGAAATAGAAGCTTTGCATATTTAGAAGTCTCATCATACTCTGATGTTATTCAACTTCACAGTTAAACTTAAGTATCTATGCATCTTTTTAAATTTGTAACATGGATATATTTTTTTCAAATCTGTAGCCTTTTAGGGGTGGTACGGTGATAATTTCCTCTTACAGCTTGATCCTAATGTTTTTTCTCTGAAAATAAATTGTTCTGTGCTACAGTATGAACAGTGAGAACAATTAAACAGTGGAACGTTTGTCTACAGCTTGTTGGTGCTTCATCACTGGAGGCTTTTAAGAAGAGACTGAACAGCCACTTGTCTGAAATTGTATAGTCTCCTGCTTGAGCAGGGGGTTGGACTAGAAGGCCTCCAAGGTCCCTTCCAACTCTATTATTCTGTATTCTGTATATTAACTCCTACTCATTACTTTTGAGATTGCAATTTCCATCTCTTTCAGAACAGAGAAAGAGATGTTAGCATCGCTAGCATGATAGTTTTCTGGCATAGTTTAAACCAGGTTTATGGTTTTATAGTACCTTGCAGCCAAGATTAGACATTAATGTTTAGATAG